CATAAAGGTTTACTTATTTCATTTACCAGCTGGAGTCTGGACAAACCCATATTATTTTGCTTCCACAGGCACAATAAACGATAATGTGAGTTACTTCTCTGTGATCTACAGTAAGGTTGAATCAGTCCCCTGATGTCAAGAAGAGCAGAGCTCCTTATTATCTCTATAAATGAAAGAAAACTTCAGTGAAATCTCTAAACAAACAACTAGCTCAAGCTTCAGTGTACTAGCGTGTGGATATCTTTAATCTGACAGTCAAAACAACCAACACTCATTTGTTTCTCTCTGTTTTCATTCTTACATTAAAATTCTGCTTTCAGTCAGATCCAAAGCAGATATGAAGGTGTGGAATAAATAGATAAGCAGACACTGAGATGTGGTATAAACCTCAGTAGCCTGATACAATTCGAGATCAGAGAGGAATGTGGGGGAAAGAAATTGCATCTGCAGTGAGATTTAAGAGTGACTTTTTAGTGTTTGGAGTGAGTTATTGTATGTGTGTGAGCTGGAATTCTGCATACTGTGAAGGATTTTAATTACAATCAATGAATGGTAGTGGATCGTATTGTCTAATTTGAGTTTCAGCATGAATAAAGGTCAAAGCCTTGATTACAAACACCATTAATTCTCTTACAGCGGCCTAATCAGAAATCTAAAAAACTTGAAGTGTCTGTGTGTATTAAGCCAGACATTAGATAGAAAGGCCCATGCAAACACACTCGCACCACAAGAGCCTGCACATCTATTTTTCACATCAAAGAGCATTTGCTTTGAGCAAATGCACATATACACATTGACTTGCAAAAGTAAAAAACCCTTAACCAATTTTTTTGTTTAGCTGAATTAGAAATGCCTCTTTGAAATGCAGTTCTTTGTGATATTACTTCTGAGCAATGAAATTCAAAATTAACTGCATTAATATGACATTTATTTATGTTAGAAAACATGCTACTGAAATAAAAACCGAATTATGCGGTTTGTTAACGTATCCAGTCCCGGCTTTTGAATATTTCATACAGACACCATTTCAAGCAATTATAGCATTTGTCTTTTAGGGTAAACGCACTGTTCAGGTGTGATTTCCTCTCCCGAACAGTGATTCGCTCCAGGTTGTTGAGGTTAGACAGTCAAAAATACACTTCCACATTTGTCTTCACAGATCAAAGCACAATGAGAATACAGAATTTACTCATGAATACACAGAGCCATTTTAGAAGTAAGCCGTAATCCTTAACTCAGTCCAGAGGGTGCTTTTGTTCGGCCTGTAGTTTGTGTAGTCAGAGCTGTTAAGCCCTCTATCCTGCAGGGTGTTTAGTTGCGTCGTTTTGTGTGCATGTCCCAGATTGTACGGTGTTCTTCTATAGTGTATATTGCATGTTTAAAGTGTAAATTGGTTTAGATTATATAACACACTGCGAGTTCTCTTCCTCCGAAATATTCCCACGTGGGCACGATCCAGTCCTCTTAGAATGACACTTTAATCAACTCTTGAAATGAGTTTCTAAAAGTGTTAAATATGCCTCCAAAAATAAGACAAATATTAGCTTTGTCACAAATTTGTGTGTTGTTTCTTTCTTCAAGTGTTATTTGAATCATAACTCATCGGCCTACAGCGATCAATCTGTTCAGCTGTCAGACTGCAGGGCTTTTCAGTGAAAGAGTACAGCAAACACTTACTTTGCCTTTTCACACTATTTTTCACCATCAACCATGGCTCACCAGTCATATCTGTCTTGGGCTTTCCTCTCTACCTTCATTCTCAGCACCAAGTGATTCTTGCGGCCTTCCTCTTTACCTTTTTCTTTGAGGATTTCCGGTCAGATCTTGCCTGTTGATATAGGCAACTGGAGGATGTGGCCTATCCTTTGTGATTTCATCTTGGTCTGTGAGCTGTGATGTTTTGTGCCACAGGTCCCTATTGCTGATGGCGTTTGTATTGCTGAGATTTGAAGGTCTGGACTTTGTTGATAATGTTCGCATGCATTCTTTTGGTTTCAGACTCATACAAGACAAGGATTACCTTGATGTTGGTGTTGAAAAGATTAATTTTGGTTTCCAATGTCAGGTTCTTGGACTTGCAGATTTTCTTAACATGGATGAAAGCAGCTCTGGATTTAGCACCCTTATTTAAAGGAATTTACAAGGTTCAAATCAACTTAAACTCAATCGACAGCATTGTGACAATGTTGATCGCCACAAAAATGTATTTAGACATCCCTCCTTTTCATTAAAAAAGCACAAATCTGAGTTACAGTGAAGCAATAACAATTGAAGTCAATGGGGTCGATCGGTCAACGTTAACATACCATTTAAATAGTACATCCAAAGACACAAGCAATATCGATGATTTTAATGTCCAAAAGAGTTGGTGTAAATTCATAACTTTGTTGCCATCACTCTAAAAAATTCTGGGTAGTTTCAACCCAAATTTGGGTCAAATATTGGGTTAAACATTTTATTGAAAAAATTTACAGTTGAAAGTGAAAGTTGAAGTTGGGTTAAAATTTGAAATTACATTTTTAACCCAACATTGGGTTTGTCCATATTTGACCCATTGTTTAGAGTGATGATAAAATGGATGATAAAACCCTAAAATGGCCATAAAAATGTCTAGAATGTCTTTATGGCTCAAAAAACACATTTAATTTAAAAAAAAAAAATTACATTAATTTCCATGTTAAAAGCTAAGCTTTGCTTTGCTTTTCCTTCAGTTAACTTCCATTAAGTGCTTTAATCACTTTAACCTTGATTTTGTCTGTCGATTGAGCTTAACTTGAAAATGTTTCGTTGCTGTCAAGACCCACAACAGCATTGGCTTCGGAGTCGTTTTGATTATTTGAAACATTTAAATTCTTTACAGATTGTAGGCTGGCTGCATGTTTTGTGATTGTGTTTGATTGAATTGTGCCTCACTTGCACAAAAGTAATTTAATGAAAGAACAGGATTATCCATTGTTAGTTAAATCCTCACTGGCAGTCACTGCATGGGTTTGAATGAGCCAAAAAAGAAAAGTCTTGTACTTCTGAACATCTGCACATATGCATTTAAAACAATGCATAGATGTATAATACAGTTGAGTTGAAACTCGAAAAATCTGAATATCAAGCAAAAGTTCATTTCAGTCATTCAACTTAAAAGGTGAAACTAATATATTAAATAGACTCATTATATGAAAAGTAAGATATTTTAAGCCTTTTTTGTTATAATTTGATGATTATGGCTAACAGCTATGAAAACCTTTTCACAATATTCTAATTTTGACTTTGGGGTTTTGATAAGCCATAATCATCAAAATTAATAAAGGCTTGGAATATCTCACTTTTCATGTAATGAATCTAGATAATATATTAGTTTCACTAATGTTGAATTACTGAAATAAATTAACTTTGCACGATATTCAAATTTTTTGAGTTTCACCTGTATACGCTCTAAAAAATGCTGGGTTCTTTTAACCCAATTTTGGGTCAAATATGGACAACCCAGCCATTGTAATTTACATTACATTTTCAACCCAATGTTTGAGTTTGTCCATATTTGACCCAAAATTGGGTCAAAACAACCCAGCATTTTTTGGTAACGCTTCCTTTTACAGTCCAGTTACCCATGTAAATACTATGTACTTATTTTAGTAACTACAATTACTGGGTAGTAACTAGTACTAACCTGAACCTGTACTGAACCTACCCCTAAACCTACCCCTGTTCCATGTACTTACCTTATATTAGCCAGTACTTTCTAGGTAAGTACACTGTAAGTACATTGTAAGTACTGTACTATAAAAGAAAGCGTTACCCATTTTTTAGAGTGTATGGTTATTCTTGCATCGTTCCACCAGTTGTACCAGTCTTATTTTCTCGCTTGCTTTGTGGCTGTATTCCATCAGGATCCAATTACTTTAGTCTGTAGTTTTTTTTTTTCTTAACTAATGTCTTTCTTTTTTGCTAAAGCCACCTTGAACCATTGGTCAGCAACATTCTTATCTTAAAAAAAAAATAAGTCACTGCCTGAATTCACATGGCAGCCCATCACACAAGCCGAGGAAGATCTACAGTGGTGCGTGTAATTGTATTTCCATTTTAAATAACTGTATCAAATTGTATTTGATGTCCTTGAAGTTGCCAGGGCATTGGTTCGAGGAATTTAAATGCTCCAATTTAAACATCTTAAATGACTTTCTCGTTCTCTGCTGGTTTTTGCTCCTGCTTGGTACAGTTCATCTCTTCTTTAAAAGATAATATTAGCCTTGTTTTGAGGGACGAAGACGAATCTAGAAAAAGACTTTGTTTCCAAACAAATGGCCATATGACAGATTTTACAAACAAATCAGCTGACAAACAAATGAGTCTGCAAACAAACCCCTTTATAAATAAAAGGCTTTCAAAATGAAACACTTCCCAGACAAACTGTTCTCTAAGTAAAAGAGTTTCCAAACGAATAGCTTTCTAAATAATAAACAAACTCTTTATGCATGACTTACTCCAAACAAATCATTTTCATAACCCTCCAAATGTAGCAAATAAAAGATTTTCCAAGCTGTTTTCAAAATAAAAGACTTCGCAAACAAACTGCTTTGCAGACAAACGTCTCTTTATACAACTGGATATAAAAGTGTCGTCCCACTCACGCCTCTGTCAACTCCTGCTTCAATAATCATTTATTGCATTTAAAATCTGGCACCTCTAATATTAGCAAGCATCAAAATAATTTTCCTGCTTTGTCTGCAGGGTACTATTAGGTGGTGTGCATTAGTGCCAATCTGCAGTAAAAGCATACGATTATGTTTAGTAAGAGTTTGTGATCATTCATTATTTGCAATGCAATAATAAACACAGATGGAATATGATTATTACTAGGAGCTTGAGTTGTGTGTGATATCATGAATCTGTCAGCTTTTTTTTATTGCTGCTGATCTGTTAAATAAGAAAGAACATGTGGAGAAACCGGCTGTGCATATTTCTACTAATGACTAATGTCTCTATTTCTTGCTCTTTCTCTGCAGGTATGGAGACATGGTCCCGAAGACCATAGCAGGGAAGATCTTTGGCTCCATCTGTTCCCTCAGTGGGGTGCTGGTCATCGCTCTGCCTGTTCCCGTTATCGTTTCCAACTTCAGTCGCATCTACCATCAGAACCAGAGGGCTGACAAGCGTCGGGCTCAGAAAGTTCAGGTCTGTCTGGTGGAGAAGCAGGTCACTAGTGTTTAGCTCTGAATAATGCCCCTGTTAAATTGGATCATATTCCTTTTCCATGCTTAAACAAAGAGAAGTGACTCTTTTGGTGTCCCAAGTCCCGTTTCGAAGGCTATTAGTCAAGGGTGGAGAAATGCCAGAGGGTTTGTGGGTAAAAATCAGGTGACAGACATCTTTCCCCTGTGGCGGTACCATGGTACAATGATGGTATCAGATGGTAATGGTACTCTGGTAAACACGACTCTTCAAAAGTTTGAGATGTTCAAAAGATTTCCATTTCAAATAAATCCTGTTTATTTTGAACTTTCTGTTCATCAAAATATAAAGTAGTTGTTTTCAACATTTATAATAAGAAATGGTTTTTGAGCAGCAAATCAGCATATTATAATGATTTCTGAAGGATCATGTGACACTGAAGACTGGAGTAATGACTGCCCTAAATTCAGCTCTGCCATCACAGGAATAAATTTACTGAATTTAATAAACATAACCAAACCCAAACTTTTGAATGGTAGAGTATATACCGTGGTCCTGAGTGCCATAATACATTTACCATGGTATTTACAGTCGTAGTTCAAAGAATATTATGTTACTACCATGGGCATATGTAGTTTTTGGTCAATTTTTTGTTGCTGCTGTCTGTTTGATGTTCCTCTCCAGGCTTTCGCATAAAGAACATAATCCTTCACAGAAAACCTCAAGTCTACTTTAATATTTAAAGCTTTGATATTCCCCTACAACCCGCCTCAGCTGCTCAGACTGTCTTCTCTCTCAATCGCCTGTTGTCTTACCAGTGGTATTTTTATAGTTCTTTGCATCATTTCTCGTTGATATCCAACTCAACCATATTGCTGCTCTTGTCTGATGAATAAGGGTTATTAAATTTGTTTGTTTCCGGGTGCATGAAGGA